TTAGACATAGCGCAGTACGTGAGCTGATCACTCATGGGGTGATAACAATAGAGTTTGTTCGGTCTCAACAAAATTTAGCTGATCATTTGACGAAAGGATTAGCTAGGGACTTAGTGATTAAGTCTGTGAAAGGGATGGGTTTAAAGTCCATTTGAAATCTTTAATGGTGGGATACCCAATTCCCCTCTAATACGACGTTTGAGGCTGAATTCAATGTGGAAAGCCTACACTTAAAGATTGAAGCACATTTTTTTTTTAATTTAATCCCAAAGTATGTGCTTGGACCTGCAAGAAGAGTTAGGTTGAAATATATTCTTAATAAATACTTTGAGAAAATGCATTTGCAGATGCATGACTGAAAGTATTTACCTATATGAGTGTGAAGTGATACCGCTTCAATAAGCTGGGACTTGGCTTTGTATGCGCTCATGAATGGATAGGGACACATGGCTTATAATAGTGTCAAGTATAACATTTAGAGTAGTGTGGAAACACGTGTGTGTATTATCTTCATGTGTTCAAAATGGGTTGAGGGATTCAATCCGTAGGACATCCTGATTCTCGAATATTTGGAATGTGTAATACACTAAAATGAAAAGTCAATTCTTCGAACATTTTCATTTATGCATGAGTTTGATATATGTATTATTTATTTTATGAATCTATGATTACACTTAAATGGGGGAGGATTGTTATATATTTAAGTGAATGTGAAAGTGTGCAAGTGTTTATTTGAACCATTGCAATTGTTTATGAACAATTACAATTACATAAATGAAACCTTGCAACTTTTGGTAATGGCAACCTTTGGTAATAACTACCTTTATAATTGCAACCCTTGGTGATTAACCATTGATAATTGCAACCTTTGGTAATAACTACCTTTATGATTACAACCTTTGGTAATAACTACCATTATGATTGCAACCCTTGGTGATTAACCATTGCAACTCTTTAACTAACCATTGCAACTCTTCATTAATCTTTGCAACTCTTTATTTTAACCATTGCAACTATTGGTTGTAACCTTTCATTTTCTATATAAAGGGATGTAGGCATTGGCAAATGATATAGAAAAATCAAAAAAAATAGTTAGTAAGAGAGTAAGAGAGAAATAGATTCATTGTTTAAAGATCATCAAAGATCTTTGAAGAACACATATAAACACTAAAACTTCTTTTTATTTCTCTTGTATCTTAACCTAGAACAAGAGTGATACTTTGATTGTCTTATCCTACAAAGGGATTTCGTGTAACCCAAAGGTTTGGAATAGGGTCGAAATACTCTTTAAGGAAAGTGACCTCGTGCGCGATTCAATCATTATCCAAGTATATAATTCACAAATTTCTGGGTTACAACCCACTTCACCAACAGTTTGGATGCTTATGTTGTGCTAACACTTCTCCTAAGCATCAACATAAATTCCTTGGCTATTCCTCTGGATATAAAAGTTATAAGCTTCTGAATCTTCAGAATAACTCCACTTTTGTTTCGAGGAACGTGGGTTTCTATGAAGATATGTTCCCACTTCATAAACCTGAGATCTCTACTGATGCACATATATTCCTTATATTGGGTCTTCTCCTACTTCTTCTGGGAGTAGGCCTAATCACAGGCCATCTAAACCACCGGGTCATCTCAAGGACTATCGTTGCTATTCCATCCCATTTCTAATTCTCTTCTATCAAGCTTTGTCGGATCCTTACATGATTTTCATCAACGCTGTTAATATTGCTGAGCCTACTACTTATGCTCAAACATGGAAATTTAAAGAATGGGGTAAGGCAATGGACATTGAGATCACTGCTCTAGAGGATAATGGTACTTGGCTGATTTGCTCTTTACATGAAGGAAAACAAGCAGTGGGATGCAAATGGGTTTTTGAGGTCAAATTCAGATGGGACTTTGGAGAAGTATAAGCTCGGCTTGTAGCCAAGGGTTACACACAACATGAAGGTTTAGATTATGATGGAATCGTCTCCTCTGTTGCAAAATTGGCTACTAAAAAACTCTTACTTGATGTTGCAGATTCTAAAGGATGGTCTCTTTCTCAACTGGAATATCTCTAACGACTTTCTTAATGGAGATTTAGATGAAGAGATTTACATTACTTTACCAGCTGGTTACTCCCCAAGACAGGGGGAATATTTTCATCCCTATGTCGTTCGTAAGCTAAAAAAAATCCCTTTATGGTTTAAAACAGGCCTCTTACCAATGGTTTCTGAAATTTTCTCAATCATTGTTTCAGTTGGGTTTTAAGACTTCTTCAGGAGATCATACTTTCTTCCTCAAGAATTTTGGTGGTGTCTACATGGCCGTCTTAGTTTATGAATATGATATAATAATTGCGAGTAGTTGAAAAAAGGCTACTGGACTGCCCAAAGCTGGGTTGCAAGCATCTTTTAAGCTCAGAGACTTGGGTACTCTCCGATATTTTCTCGGTTTTGAGATAGCTCGTTCTTCTGCTGGTATCACCATCTGTCAACGCAAGTATGTTCTTGATCTCTTGACAGAAACTGGTCTCCTTGGTTCNATGATATAATAATTGCGAGTAGTTGAAAAAAGGCTACTGGACTGCCCAAAGCTGGGTTGCAAGCATCTTTTAAGCTCAGAGACTTGGGTACTCTCCGATATTTTCTCGGTTTTGAGATAGCTCGTTCTTCTGCTGGTATCACCATCTGTCAACGCAAGTATGTTCTTGATCTCTTGACAGAAACTGGTCTCCTTGGTTCGAAACCTTCTTCCATTCCCATGGATCCTAGCATTAAGTTATCTCTTGAAGTAGGTGAGCTCTTGCCATGGATCCATATCGTCGTCTCAATGGGAAGTTCTTGTATCTCACATTCATTTGCTCTGACATCACGTTTGCTGTCCACAAACTTTTTCAGTTCACATCCACACCAAGAGCTCCCCATCTTCAGGCTGCATATAAGGTCCTTCATTATCTAAAGAGGACTGTCAGATAAGGCTTGTTCTACAGAGTTCAGTCGGATTTGAAATTTTCTGCTTTTGCAGACGCTTATTGGAGCTCTTGTCCTGATACTAGAAGAAGCGTTTCAGGATTTTGTATGTTCGTTCGTCCAGCTTTGATCGCTTGAAAATAAAACAAACAAGACACTATCTCCAATTCTTCTGCTGAATCTGAGTATTGTGCCATGTCTGATGTAGTAGGAGAAAGGCTTTAGTTTCGTAGTACGCTTCAAGATCTTTGTCTTGACATTACCGAAGCTGCTCCCTTATACTGTGATCACCATGTTCCATGAACATACTAAACAGATAGAACGTGACTGTCACATTGTTAGGGAGAGGGTTCAGCTTGGACAGATCAAGACACTCCATGTTCGTTCTGCTAATCAACTTGCTAGACATTAGTACTACACCTCTATATCCAACACCATTCTGGCATCTCTTAGATAATTAACATATATGCTCAATCTTAAGGAAGAATATTGATATATTGAAATTGGTTCTTTCATATACGATTTAGTAAATGCATATAGCATACCTGGTTTGTTCTTGTTATGAAATTACAACAACTGTATATAATTGGCTATTTTCGAGTAATGTAACAGAAAGATTCTATTTATTGCCTTCTCTCTCAAAGCTCCTTTCTGCCATAGCTGAGCTGTAGAGTAAGGTTTCTGTTCCTCTTCTATTACACTAAAAGGTTCGACAAGATTATAAAACCAAAAAGAGTTGTATATGGATTTCAGATTCCGGAAATGTTCTTTTCTTTGAGTTATTGGGGAAGTACGAGCTTGACATTCCATAGGTAAAAAGTGAAAAGGGAACATTTAAATGTGTGAGGATTCGACATTTTCAAATGTCATGTCATCATATTACAACAAAGGGCTTCTCTTGGTCGTTGCATCAAGCCTTGTCGTCATGGAACCACCACCTCGTCTCCTTAGGAGACCTCCCGTTCTTACAATTCTTCACGTAACGATCATTATCTGCGGGGCGTTCCTGCAATAACATACATGTGTTTGTGACTGAGCTCATACTCACAGTTTATGTACATTAGGAAATACAAAGAAGGACGCAGGAACCTTTGCAGGTGAACTTGATAGCATGGAGAGAATGCTGATGCAGACCGAACTCACAGTCATTGCTGGTGACCACGAGTCATAGAGAATATCTACCAAAAACAACCCAGAAAGATTTAAACTATTTTCCAAAGGAATCACTATCATCAGTTTACATGCTCAGGGATAACCAAATTTGAACTGAGACGCAAAGCGGAAAGAGACACGAACTCAAGCTCCAAAGCAAGTACAAAATCATGAGTCTAACAAGCGCTCTGCGTGTTACCCGCTTAGAGGTGTATTTGAAAACGAACATGATTTTTCCAAAAGCATAAACAAGTGTACGGGATTATATCCCGAACTTTGAGCAACAGACAGAGTGGGAATAATAGATCTATGCACAAGGCATACAATAAAAACATTTCTAAATCACACAACCATACAATGGGTCCAAACTCGGGTGATCAACAAACCTATCTTCAAACTTAGCAAATTATACATTACATATCATTATAAAACTAACTCGACAAGGTATTCATACTTGCACATTAACAGCAATAAGAAGGTCATCTAAGATAAACAAACCCTTGATGTTAATAAAAATATATATATAACGATAAGCCAAAGAGATGGAGAAAATACCTAAGCAAATATGTCCATTGCTGTATATATGTGGATGAGACGGTGCCGGAGGAACAAAAACTACCTGCTCAACCAAGAGCAGATGAAATCAGTCACACTAACTCCCCCAAACGGACACCAAAACCCAAAAGAAATAAATAATACAAATTCAATTAAAGCTAGCCAACAAGGGTAGGTCCTGCGCAAATCCAAATGAAACATTTAGTTCCACCCCGCAAAATTTTTACAGAAAGTTACATAGACAGATCCTCAAATTTTTAAGAAATGTTTTTTTTTTTGAAACTTTTACTAAATCGCCTACAACTCCCAAATTCTCAGGGCCGAGACCATGTAGCCAAACAAAGAAAATGGAAGAGAAAGACACATAAACATGTAAGGAAAGAAAGTGCTTCCGATCAGATTCGCTATTACAAATGTCAAAAGAAATAAAACTACAAAACCTAGATGATTGAGATGACATACCTGGGGCGCTTCCATAGGGTAATTAACGGGAAATTCAACCTGAAGCTGGTAAGTCTCGTTCGCGTAGAGCGTCCCCGGAGCTCCGGTCACATCGATTGTCCATCTTTTAAAATCACACCAGAAAAAGAAAACAAATCGATCAAGTATTCTTTTTTTTTTTTTTGAACACCATCGATCAAGTATTCAAACAGAGAGATATTAAGTTTTATGCTTACTTTTGAAGATTATCGGTGACTTTGTGCCTAAATCCAGTGGGAGGATGTAACTGCCACTCGGTAAGCTCTTTCTGCAACCTATTGCAAGCGATCTTGCTTAAAGCCTACGCATGATTGCACAATCACTCGATTTCAGATTTCATAAGAGGTTATATATAAGGGAGTATAACAAATCCGTGAAAAGATGAAAGACATGCGAGAGAGACCTTGCGTGAGGGAGCTGAAGAGCTGGTCATGGTGAAGAAAGAGAGAATGAAGAGAAATCGTCTGTCGAGCCCTGCATCTCTTTTGTATTTGTATGATGATGTCCTAGTTATAAGAGTGAGTTACACAATTAGGCACTTTCTTGACTTTTCTTACATGAAGAGGCACTTGTTGCTTGAGAGGCACTTTTTGTCTACGTTTCCTCTCTCTCTCTTGTATCTAAAGACAAACAAGTCTTTCTCTGGTTAATTAAAGCAGAACCAACATATTGCTCTCTGGTTATGTAAACCAGCGGTTTATTATTTGGTTTTTACATTCGAATTTTTTTTGCTTTCTTATCTTCTGTCCTTGCTAGCCTCTCTCTTCATCCTTTCAAATAACCACATCCATCATATTCACTACCCATGTATCCACCACTGCCGTATCCGCAACTATTGTATCCACATTAAGTTTTTCACCACCACCATCGTATCCACCATCAACTTCTCCTCTTCATTAGTAACCTTTATTGTAACAACCAATACCAAATACTTCACAACCACTGCCCAAGTCACAACACTCAAACGCATACATGGTTCCAGCATCAATATTTATATAAGGATCTAAAAACCAAGTGCTCCACATAAGCAAAAACAGCAACCAAAGAAGAGTAACAGAGAAGAGAAAAAGTACCAATTTTTATAGAGGAACACAGCTGATAATCCACCCCCAGCTTATTCTTCCACGGTTAAACGATCGATTATGTAATCTTTAGGAGCTGAGAAGACTTCTATCGCGTTGATGAAGGAAAAGGTGGAAGCTTTCGCAGGGAGAAACGAAATCTCTAAAACAAAGGAATCGATTTTGAGTATGAACTCTTTCACGGAGATGGTGTTGGTGGTGAAGGTGTTTAATACGGAGAACCCATTGATCAAAACAGAGAATTTAGCTGATTTTAAGTTAAAGTTCGAAGCTTTGAACGGTGCGAAGTGGAGACGGATGAAGTGAGTGGCGTTGGTGGTGGTGAGGTGGAGTTTGCAGGTGGGAGATGGTGGTGATCCGCCGGGGAAGATACGAGCTGTGTGGTATAAAGCGGGGGAATCCGGAGGTGGGTTTTGGTCGGAAAGAGAGATGGATCGATCGGCGGTGAGAAAGGTGGAGCCTTGTGTTGATGAGTCGCCGAGGAAGGAGCGGGTGGAGAAGAAGGAGGTGTTGGTGGTGGCGCCGCAGTTAAGGAGGTAGTTTTCTGGTGGAGTGAAAGTGGCGGAAGAGAGGTGGAGAAGGGAGGAGAAGGAGATAAGGGTGAGGATTAGATTTACTGGAAACGCCATGGGAGAGTGGTTTGGTTTGGGTCATTTCATTTGGTTTGGATCTGTTTTTGGTACATACGGTTTAATGATTACGGTTTACATTTTGGTTTGGTTTGGGGAAGAAAGGGACTAAAGAGACCTTCCACTCCCACAAAGTGTGTGACAAGTAAGAAGTGTTCCTAAATGTAATTGAGAAGAGAAAAAGTGTCCTAGAATGTAAATTTCTCTAGTTATAACTAGAGTTTCTTTTTTATTTAATTTTAAATAAAAAATAATAAAATTTAAAGAAATCTGGGTAAGTTTTTATATTTACAAAGAGAAATAATATCAAATTCACCCAATTGATGACTCGTCGGACCTCTCAACCAAACTCTAAAATCAAATGCGATTTTTCGTCTTTTCTAAGCTTCCTTTTTAATTTTTTTCTATTTATTTCTTTCTCAACTAAGAATCAGTATTCTCCAAAAGCATCTCATCTCTCTCGCGATAGACAGCTATGTCGGTTTCTTATTCTTGACTCTTTCGATTTAGGTTAGGAAATCTCTTAGGTTAATCTCCTACTCTTTTAATTTAGGTTCTCGAATTAGATTGATCTAATTTAGGTTATGTTTAGGTTTGTAATCCGTAGTGGATTGAGTGAGTCTTATTTCGTCGTGTGTATGTCTCGAAAGACGGTGGCTGACTGTCGTTTTAGATTGGTTTCATTCCATAACAATTGTTGCAGGAATCTCGTGAAAACACGATGGACTAGGAAGAAGAAAAGAAAGAAACCTGTGGAAGAGGAGGTGGAGTTTATAACTTCTACTGTAAATCAAGTTCCAGAAGTTCAAAGAGAACAAGTTGCAAAGTTTCAAGGAGAACAAGTTGCAGAAGTTCAACCTGAAGTTCAAGTTCCATAGGTTAAAGGAGAGTAAGTCCTAGATTTTGAAAGAAAACAATTTCCAGAGGTTCAAAATGAAATAGTAGAGAATTAAGTAGAAAACAACATAGTAGATGGAGAAGAGAATTCAAAGGAAGAAGAGGGAGAAAAGACGAAGTCAAATGAAAAAGAAAAAAAAACGCAAGAAATTAGTTGACGATGAAGAAGAAGAAAAGACGAGAAATCAGTTGACGGTGAAGAAAAAGATGAAGATGATGAGAAATAAGCTAACGAAGAAGAAGAAGAGGAAGAAGGGATTCATAACTCTGACAATAATACTGTGAAGATGGAGAGACCCATGGAGAATCTGAAGAAGATAGAGAGGAAGGATATGGTAGTCCAACCTTAAGCAAGAGAAGTGTAAGTATTTGTATCTCTGTCTCAATAGTTTGTCAAAACAACTTGGTCGAACTAAGGATAGCTGGTATAACAAAGGATAACTTGTACTACCGGTATAACTAAGTATAAATTAGTTCCACTTTATTGTTTGTTAGCAGGATTCCGGGGGTGGGTCTCTAAAACCGTTGGCCATGTACTTCCCACCGACTGAGTACAAGAAGAAGATCAAGATATTGACGAGGCGTTTCATTGCTGATGTATTGAAAACCTTATAAGAATTAAACCCTCCGATGACTACGGTAGAGAATAATTGATTTCAGAATCATCCGCAGTTCAAACACATATTCCACATGCCGGAGATTAGAAACCACAAGGTCATAGGCATGTGGATGATGCTTCTCCGAACCGCACGCATTTCAAAGAAAAAGAGGCATGGTTTGTTGTGAATGGTTGTCCCATCCGCTATGGTATCAGAGAACATGATTTGATATCTCGATTGAACTATTGAAATTATCCATTGAGATACAAGCTAAGCGGAGGCACAAGGTTTGTGAGGCAATGTTTTGGCAGTGGAATAATAAGATATCAAGACGTCAGAGCAAAAGTTCTTGAGGGAATGGAACCTTCTCGTGATAGGTTGAGGCTGTTGGTGTTGTATTTCCTATCAAGTAGTATTATTGTGGATCCATTCTTGATGAGAGCAGTTGATGATCTCAGCTTATGTAAATCATTCCCTTGGGTAGATTCTCGTTTGATTACATGTTGAAACAAATTTCAAACAATATGGCTCATTTTGATTGGGAGGTCAAAGAAGATGTGATATGGCCAGTTCCCGGTTTCTGTATCCCAATGGAGGTAAGTGTTTAAGTAATATATGACTCGAAAGGTTGTAATGTTGATGGAAAGTTTTATATTGACACTTATGGAGGTTTTGTTTACATGTGTAGCTCCTAGCATTTGAGGTGATTACCGAATTGGGGGAAAAATACGTAGAGCGTGTTGAAGACGTAGATCCAAGTAGTCCAAGGAAGTGCCGATCAAATTTCATTAGAAGTGATATGGAGAGATTTCCCTTATAAAAAATAAATAAAGGACTTGGTAATACTAAGGTTAGTTGTCCCTTTTATCTGAATTTTATCTCCATGTTATGAGATCTCCCATGTTATGGGAATTTTAATAAGGCATTGACACTGTAGGACATTGAGAACAGCTTGTTTGTTTCCGATGAGGAACAAGTCTACTAAATCGGATAACAGAAGTAGAGAGTGTAAGAGATAAGGATGACTTGGTTTTCGAGAGCTGGATGGAGACGGTGGCTAAGGGATATGTTGTTAGGTTTAAAAATATGTTAGCGGAGGATGAGGCTGTCTGCGAAGCCCCTCCCGCTGAAAATATTGGGAACGAGACAAGAGCCACCAGTGAAGTAGAAGAGAACACAGTGAAGTTCTGATGCCAAACTTTTGTAAATAAGAGTAGTTCACATACTCCTCCGCATCTTTCAGGAAATCATCTCAATGTTTTCTTTTGTAGATGCTGAAGAAAGAGAAATAAGGGAATCATAAACATAAAACTTTTACCTTCCAGACTTGCAAGAGGAATCGGATCCAATGTGTACCAAGCCCTAACATAATTAAATAAAATTAAATTAGGTTGGAGGTCAGCTTGGTTTCTTTCAAACATTTTCAGAAAGTATGGATATAATGGTAGGTAATCAACTTTGGTATCTCTAATACACTCTACAATTAGTAACTCTACGAATTATGGTATAGAGTGGTTAGATAATAAATATATAAACTAGTTTAAAACAATGTCCACGGAATGATGATTTTTAAACAAATTATTTTACGTATTATTATATATTTTATGTTCTTTTCTATATTATAAAATAATAAATCTATATATTAAATAATTGAGAAATCAGTAACTTTATGTATAAAATTTAAATAGCGCGAGTACATATATAAAAAAATCACATTTGTTTATTTACAATCATTTTTTATATCAAAAGGTTGTTCAGTTACTCAAATTAGAGGTAGTCAGCGAATCCAGACCGAGATAGAACAACCGACCAAAGTAAGACTCCTATGAAAATATCGAGCGGTCTTGGCAAGCGCGTTTGCCGTCTTGTTGTTATTTCTTAGAATATGAATGATCATAAACTCTTGAAACCGACCTTGCATTGCTGGGAATTCCGTTAGCTTTGTTGAATAGCTTGGCCACACTTTTGGATCTTTGATCAATGCTATTACATCCTTGAAATATGTACCAAAGTGTTGACAAGTTTTATATTGGACCATACTCTCTATTGCCCAAATCAGAGCCCCTAATTCAGAATGCAAGTGAGATAATCGTCTCACATTTTTTCTCAAACCCTGAATTGATCTTTCCAGTAACAACAAGGTATACCCATGAACCATCAACCATCAAATAATTTCTAAGCTTAAGGCTTGTGTTTCTTGAGACTAGAGTGGTATTGTATCCATTGACATTGAGTTGGCCTC